CTAGAATCTTTGGCCTTTATTAATAGCCCCAACTAGAAACATATGATGTCTGTCAGTAGCACAATGAATATATAAGCTGTATTTTATTCATATAATCACATACTATAAAGCAAAAAGAATAAACAGTCTATGACTACATGCAACAACATGGAGACTCTCACAGACATAATGTGGAATGTCAGGAAAGTACACCTACTGGATGACACCATTTGTATAAAGTACATTCTAGCTATCTCTTGCTGTGCAACAAATGACCTGAAAAGTTAGTGGCTTTAAACCACAGCAACTTTTTTTTATAAGTCTGCATTTGAGCAAGGCTTGGTAGAGGACAACTCATCTCTGTTCCATTCTGAGGTACGTGGGAAGACGGGAATTCAGGGGGCTGGAATCATCTGAAAGCTTCTCCTCCTATGGGTGGTAGCCAATGCTGGCTGTCAGCTGAGACCTCAACTGGAGCTGTGGTTGGAACACATCAACTTGGCCTTGCATGTGGCTGGATTCCAAGGGTGATCACCCCAAAAGGATCAGGGAGTCACTGTCTTTTATAACTAAGCCCCAGAAGTCGCATGCTATTACTTCTGCTACAGTCCCAGGTCCACACATACTCAAAGGGAGGAAACAGAGATGGAGGAATATCAGCAGCACATTCTCAGGAAAGGAAGGATGGGATATATTAGTGCAGCAGTCTTTGGAAAATACACCTGCCATAAGGTACACAGCAGCCAACACTAATCTGTGGTTTTAAAAGGAAAAGTAATGGTTACCCTTAGGAAGAAGGTAGTGACTAGAAGGGAATGTGAGAGGGGCTTGGGGGTGTTCATAATATTCTGTTTTTTGACCCAGTGCTAGTTCACTTTGTGAAAATTCATCAAGATGCACATTATGACTTGTGCACTCTGCTTATGTATGCTATAACCCAATAAAGACTTTTTAAAGAATAGTAGCAATGATATTTGACAAAGCTTGGTGGATTCAGTAGGCCCAGTAGAAAATTTTCTCAACAATAGCCACAAGTCACATCCTTTGGGATGTGATTTGAGTTGGATGCTAGCTCTCTCCTTGGTAACTTAAAACTTGCTAATATGGAGAAAATGGGTTTCTTTTTGTAGAGCTAGAGAAAGATTAAAGCCAACTGTGATGGTTAATTTCATGTGTCAAATTGGCTGGGCCACATTGCCCAGATATGTGCTCAAACATTATTTTGATGTTTCTGTGAGGGTGGTTTTGAATGAGATAAACATTTAAATTGGTGAAGTAAAGCATCATCCTGCATAATGTGAGCCTCGTCCAGTCAGTTGAAGACTTGAAATAGAACAAAATACTTACCTCCCTTGAGCAAGAAGCAATCAACCATGAGAAGGCCTTCAGACTTGTTCTATGGCATTGGCTCTTCCTGGCTCCATGGCAGACTACTTTCAGGCTCAAATTACCACAATGACTCTTCCCTGGGTCTCCAGCTTGCCAGCCCACCCTGCAGAATTTGGACTTGTCAGCCTCTATAATCATTTGAGCCAATTCTTGTAAAACATAAATTTTTTTTCCAAAAAAAAAAAAAAATATATATATATATATATATATATATATATATATATATGCATAAATACACACACACACACAAGTCCTATTGGTTTTGTTTCTCTGGAAAACTTTGACTAATGGACCTGTATTCTTGGTGTCTGTCTTGTATCCTTTCTTATTTAAGCGACTATCCACTGAGTGATCTATGTCTCTCAGAGAGCCAGTAAAACTTAGCCCAGCCCCAATTTCCATGGCCTTATGAGGCTCTAAAGCTGTCCCTACAGACTCTCTCCATCTGGAACTTTCTTCCAAATGCTTCCTTCTCCTTCAAAACGGCCTTACAATTCACACACAATCCCTCATTGGTTCCCATTTTTAAAACATCATTTATCCCAAGCATTTCATGAATTTATTGACTTTATTAATGATTTGAGAGAGTAAAGAAAGAGTTCTGTATTAGTCAGCTATTGCCACAATGTGCTGCATAGCAAATAATCCCAAAGCACAGTATTGCACAACAATGAGAATTTATTCTCTGATCACATATCTGTGGGTTGGCTGGGGTTTGGCTAATAGTCTGGACTTGGGTGGACTTGGCACAAGCTGTGGGTTGGGCCTAGGTCTGTTCCATGTGTTTCTTCTCGTTCCTGGTCCTACAAATGCCCAAGGCATGTTCTTGCTATGATAAAAGTCAGGAGTGCAACAGAGCAAAATCCCCACCCAAGAGCTCAAGCCTCTACCCATGTGATATCTGCTGACATCTCACTGACCAAAACAAGTCACACAGCCAAAGGTAAAGTCAGAGGAAAACACCTCCTCCCCTTCCCCCACGTCTGGGGCCATGGCAGGGGTGTGGGAGAATTAACATTAACGATCTGAGCTCCCACAGTGAGGCCTCCTGCCAGTCCCCAGCCCCCCTCTCCTTTCTCTCTTCCGCTTTGCCTCTCTCTAGAACGTCAAGAAAAGGCTTCCCTGGCCTCTGCAGAACGGTGTCTCTTTCATCCGGCCTGAAGCATTGTTTTATTCTACAAAACTCAGGACATCTTCTCAATGAAAGTGAGTCTCTCCCCAGGAAGCTGGCTGAGAAAAGTAATCTGTTCAAAACCTCATGTAGAACAGACAGAGTCCCCTCACAGAGTCTGTGGCCGTTATCATGCTGAACCAAAAGAAAAGTAAGCCATCCCCTTTCAAGCCCCCAAACCCTTTCTCAGCAAGCTCTGAAGTGGAAAAAGATTAATATCTCCAGGCTCCTGAGCCACTAAAACAAAGAATAAAGTTCCTCTGGGGAGTTGCCTGCGCCTTTTTCTGAATGCACCTCTGGCCAAAAAACAAATAAAACAAACTCTTTCTAGGGATCTCAGGGACAGCACTTTAACGGAGGAGCAATGAAGAACAAAGCCTCCCATCTGCCACTGCTAAAGATGATCCCCGGGCAAACTGGGGAAAACAGAGCAGAAAATTAAGCCTTTGCTTGGTCTCCTCTCCTAGGCTCAGTTCTCACCAGTCCAGACCCGCAGCACACCCTGCAAAGAGGTAGGTGTGATGGAGATCAGGAGCAGAAGCAGAAGACAGCCTGGATATTGACCTTCCCCAGGGATGCTTTGATGCCGAGCTGTTTTATGCCTAGATAATGAACATACCCACAGCACTCCTGGGTCTGAACGCTGATATCACTCTCTGTCCTCTTGCTCCAGAAAAGCCACTGAATAGTGTTACTTGGTTTAGTTTGGAGGGAAGTGGGGAGTAGAGCAATGTGATCAGTTTTCATACAGTCTTTCAAGAAAGATGAAGATAAATCGAGGGTTCAGACACAGGTTATAACTCACTACGAGGCTGCAGGCTTCTGGGAGGCCGTGATTCTGGGGGATGGCAGAGCTGAGCAGCAGGCAGGGATGGGACTGCGATTTTTGCAGATTCTAACTTATACTTTTTTCTGTATCTTAGCAGTTCTGAAGTTGGGATGCATCTCAGTATATACCAAAGCTTCCTTACAACCACTTCCTCTAAGAAGTAGTCATGCCACATAGTTGCCCTTGACTATTACGTGCATGAATATCAGAAGCACCAGCGTCAAACCCTGGAGAGTGGTATCCGCCATGTGCATGGAAATCCTGGAGCCTCTCCTAATTGGTCTGGGAGTGAGAAGGGAAAATATCCCTTCAGGAGCCCTCCCCAAAGCAGGAATCAGAAGCAGGCTGCAAAACCAGCTTCAGAACCCAGAGCCAACACTTTCAGTTCATGCTTGGATGATAAAAGGCAAACTCATAGAAGGAGAGAGTAGGATGGTGTTTATCAAAGGCTCAGGGATGGGGGTGGATGGAGAAAAGAGAGATGTTGATTAAAACGTACAACGTTCAGCCAGGCAGAGGGTCAAAGCTTTAGTGATCTATTGTACAGCATGATGACTATAATTAATCATAGCATTGTGTATTTCAAAATTGCTTAAAGATTGGGTTTTAAATATTCTTATCACAAAAATTCGTAAGTACATAAGGTGATAGATATGTTAATTTACTTGATTTTATCATTCTACTATGTAAACACATACCAAAACATCACATTATACCTCATTAATATATGCAATCATTATTTGTTAGTTAAAGATACAATTAAAGAACAGAATTACTGTATTACCAAGACTCTTCATGGCACTCAGGATGGCATTGCCAGAGGAGTGAGGAGACCACAGGCAACAACAATTTGGGAGTCAAAAGTGAATCAGAAAAACCAGGTCAATGTTAAGAAATTTAGACTATATTAACCAATTTTATTTTGCTCATATTTTTCTTTTTATATTCACCCAAGTACTATATTATAAAAATTTTTACCTAATTAAATGTAAAGCCCCTTCAAATAAGTTAAAAATAAAATTCTAAAGAAAGCAGGATGCCGTAGTTTTCCATTGCAATGTTAGTTCTTCCTTAGTGAGACATAAAATAAAGGTGCATTTGGGATTAGGTTGAGTTAAAGGCCCCCAGTCTAATCTCCTGCTTCAGTCGCAGTGCCCAGGAAAATGAGCCAGAGACAGGCAGAATGCTGAGCCCCACTGAGTTTGTAGTCAAAGTCCCCACCTCGCTTTGGGGCACGTTCCTCTTCCTTCCCTCTTGAATGAAAAACCGCTTCCCTCAGACATCAAGCGCTGCTGCATTCCTGGCCCAGATCAGTTCTCAGGAAGTCTTGTTCTTTTCTTCTTTTTGGGGACAAGTGACCTAGAAGGCTCACTTTGGAGAACATGCCTTCCGGGTGGAGGGGGTGTTGTATTTTAACAGTGGGAAAGGAAGGGCCCTCCCAAAGTGGGATTTCGGGCACTGGTCATTAGAACAGACAAGGGAGAGGGTTCTCACCCTCCACTCCTTGAAGTCTAGCCATGTGGGTGGGAGGCTGGAGCAGCCAGTGAGGACATTCAGCACAATGTGGGCAACCGGACAAGATGGATTTGAATTTATAAAGAATCTGCCTTCCTTCCTTCATGTTCCAAGCAAATGTTCCAGGTATTTAAGCCACATGCTGGGGAGGTAAGAGATAAGCCTCATGCTGGGGAGATAGGAAGATGGGACACAAATCTGGAAACTACCCATCAACAGAAGAACAGATAAATAAATTATGGCATAGTCATAAAATAAAATATGATACAACTAAGAAGATGAATGAGCCAAAATATGTGCAAGAAATGCATGAGTGTTACAGAGACAGTGTGGAGCTGAAGAATCCCGACACAAAATCAGAGTGCATGATTTTGTTTACAGGAAGAGCAAAAACTGGGGAAACTAAAGGGTGTTATTTTTAAGTCGAATTGTGGTTTCCCTGGGTTCGGGGACTAAGTATTCATGAGAAAGGGGAGAAGGGACATCTGGGGTGCTGGAAGGGATTCTGTTTCTGGATCTGGAAGTTGGTTTATGAAAATACGGGTGCCTGTAGTTTACGAAACTTCATCAAAATGAACACAGGATGCATGCACCTTCTGCAGTATGGGTGCTGTCAAGAAGTTTGTTAAAAGGAAGATCTTTCCTGTGGATCATATGAGGCAAAAAAAGGAAGATCCTTCCGTTTGGGTTGCAGAGATGGGGAAGAAACCCGAACAGGCTGGCTACAGGATCTGAAGTAGGAGACTACATTAATTTTTTAGCTTCCACTTTTATCAGCCTGCTCAAAGCAATGCCCCAAACAAATTATATATTCTATGTCCCTGCAACTTCATGAAATAGGGATCCGCACATAAAAACGTGTTCCCCTGAGAGCTCCAGGAAATGGGTTTCACACACATCCATCAAGACTGCAAAAGGGGCTAGGCGTGGTGGCTCATACCTGTAATTCCAGCACTTTGGGAGGCCAAGGCAGGTGGATCACCTGAGGCCAGGAGCTCGAGACCAGCCTGGCCATCTCCACTCAAAATACAAAAATTACCCAGGCTTGTAATTTTTGCCTATAATCCCAACTCGGGAGGCTGAGGCAGGAGAAATGGTTGAACCTGGGAGGCGGAAGTGGCAGTGAGCCAAGATGGCGCCACTGCACTCCAGCCTGGGCAACAGAGAGAGACTCCATCTCAAAAAAAAAAAAAAAAAGCAAAAGGTCTCCACTTCCTTATTAAAGGAAGATTTGAAAGCGTGCACACACACATACTCACACACACTCAATAGCCTCTAACGGTCATAATTTGTAGCCTGGGCTGAACCACAGCACTATTTCAGTCATTCCATCTGCCCATTTTGTGGCCTGCAAGCTCTACCCAGCCAGAATTCACCCTATGAGCCCCACTGAGCAGTAAGCAGTTATTTACTCCATCAATACTGACTGAACACCTGCCTCCATCCAGGGCCTGTGCTAGGTGTTTAATCTGGCAGTAATCATAGGAGGCAGGGAACACGATCCCCATTTTTACAGATGAAAAAGCTGAGATTCAGGGACATCAGAGCACTTATCCAAGGTTACAACCGGGTGGCAAACAGGGGAGCTGGAGTTCACCCCTATGCACAATTCCTTGCTAGAAATTGTAGCCTTGATTTTCCAGTTATCTAATATTGCATAATGAGGCACCCCAAAACAGTGGCATAAAACCGGAACAATGATTTGCTCATGGATCTGGGGGTTAACTGGGTTCCACTGGGCAGTTCTTGCTCAGGGACTCACATGTGTTTCCAGAGACATGCAGTGTCTGTGGCCCTCTCCAGAGATTCCTCGCTGGGAGTCCAGGCATCCCCGAGCATCTCTGTCTGGTCTCCCCACATGGGGACCTCGGGGTGTCAGAACTTCTCACAAGGGGCAGAAGTCTGCAAGAAACCAGCAAGCCTAGAAAGTCATGCAGTGTCACTTCTGCCACATTGTGTTCATCGAGGCGGCCAAAATGGCCCACCCCAGCTCAGAAGGAGGGGACCTGGATCCCACCTCTTGATGGGAGGAGTAACAAAGAATTTGCAAATGTTTAAAACCACCACAACTGATAAGTTTGTCACAGAGGATATTGACCACGATGACTTTCTTCACATTTCCACTGTCTTCCTTCACTTCTGACGTGCACTTTAATGCCATATTTCCTACTTCTGAGTTTGGCCATGTCACTTGCTCTGGCCTGTGGGATGTTAGCCCAATGATGTGTTTCCCCTCTGCCATCACCATGGGGAAAATGTGCCTGGACCATGCCACTGGTCTGAAGGGGAGTGTCTCAGTTCATTTTCTGTTGCTTATAACAGAATATCTGAAACAGGGTAATTTATAAGAAGTGAAATTTATGTCTTACAGTTCTGGAGGCTGGGAAGTCAGGGGTCACGTCTGGTGAAATCCTTCTTGCCAGTGGGGACTCTCTGAAGAGTCTCGATACCGTACAGGACATTACGTGGTGAGGGAGCTGAGCATGCTGGCTCAGGCCTCTCTTCCTCTGCTTTTAAAGCCACCAGTTCCACTTCTACAATAACCCATCAATTCATTAATTCATCAACCCATGAATGAGCTCATCTATTTGTAAAGAGAAGAGCCCCAATCACCTCTTAAAGGCCCCACCTCTCAATACTGCCACATTGGGGATTGAGTATCCAACACATGAAATTTGGGGGATACACTCAAACCATAGCAGGGAGGGAAAGGAGATAGGAGACTGGAGGGGCAGGGCCCAGACAGCCTGAATTAGCAGATTCTCAGTCACACCGCAGGTCCATGAGCATAAATCAGTTAAGTTGCAGAGTTTTGAGATAGCTTGTGACTCAGTGTTTTTGTGGCTGTAAGTAATTTGGACACTGCCACTCAAAAAAGACATTGGAATCCAACTTCAGAGAAAATATTGGGAGATATGAGAAACCTTATAACTAATCATATGTCACAGAGTTATTCAAGATGAAGAAAATATAAACAGGAGACAATTTTAGATACCGGCCAAACTGGTCAGTGACATCTCAGAAAGTTTTTCAAGGTTCTGTGCCTATGCACCCCACCAAATGGACTTCTCCAAAGAGACTCCCACCAAAGCTATAACCAAGTCCTGCCCAGGGCTGTCTGCCTTGAACAACTCATTCATTCAGCTCATTGTGATGCTTCATTCCCAGGGCATGTTTGATGTGCATGTGTGTGCAAGTGTGTATTGAGCTTTATGTGTTGTGTGGGTATGAAAATGGGAGAGCATCTCTGAATGATTCTTTGTAATAAAGAAAAATGGAAATTCATCGTACACTGGTCAGTCATCTTGAACTCTGATACCGGCTCTTTAAAATAAAAAGGAAAGAAATTTTATTTTCTTTTTACTAAATTTTCTTTGGAAAAATTATTGCCTCTACATTCTTGGTTCATTTATTCCACCCCATTTCTTATGGGGCCTCCCCTTACCACCACCCCAATTTTATCCCCAAGAGACAATGGGAAGTAATCAATGAGAAGAGGCTGGAATCAGACATAGAGAGCTTTCAAGCTTGAAGGAATGTGAGAGGACACCTCATCCAACCCACCTGCTTCCCTGAGAGGCAGGGCTTGAACCAAGAGAGGGCAAGTCGTCTCCTGGTGACCACACAGTGAGGCTAAGAACCAGCTTGAAGTAGAGCTCAGGCCTCTTTCAAGAGCTTCCCTGGAAAACTGGTGAAGCCAACCAAAGCACAGCAACCATGGCTTTGCGTCATTCAGTTTTTCTTCTCTGGATTTCAGTTCATTCATCTCTAAAATGCATGCCCTGGGCCGGGCGCGGTGGCTCAAGCCTGTAATCCCAGCACTTTGGGAGGCCGAGACGGGCGGATCACGAGGTCAGGAGATCGAGACCATCCTGGCTAACACGGTGAAACCCCGTCTCTATTAAGAAATACAAAAAACTAGCCGGGCAAGGTGGCGGGCGCCTGTAGTCCCAGCTACTCAGGAGGCTGAGGCCGGAGAATGGCGTAAACCCGGGAGGCGGAGCTTGCAGTGAGCTGAGATCCGGCCACTGCACTCCAGCCTGGGTGACAGAGCGAGACTCCGTCTCAAAAAAAAAAAAAAAAAAAAAAAAAAAATGCATGCCCTGGATTAAATGAGTTTCAAAGCCCTGTCTAGCTCTTTGATTTTTTTTTTTCTTTTTTTTTTTTTAAAGTAATTTAAAGAGGAGGGCAGGAACACTAAATCTCTCTCAACAAGACACCTGGAACCAAGCAGACCCATTTCCAAACCTCAGCTCCATGACCTTGTGCTGTTATGCAAGTCACTTAACTTCTCTTCCCCTAAGTGACCCAGGAGGCAGAGAAAGTACCTACTGTGTCCACACATAATTCAAAGGCACCAAGGGATTTTTTTCCAACATAATTTGCTATATGGCAGTTATATTTATTAGAGACATACCTTCCTGAATACCTCATGTAAATCCCAGCTCAATTAAGTCCAGGCCAACCTTTCCATAGTAACAACACAAAGCATGGTGGGTTTCCCTTTTACCAGCTGAGAACAGCCCCATCTTGGACAAGTTTCAGCAAAGCTCACAGACCAGTCTATCTTAATGCCTTTGAAATTATGAGATTCCCAACTCTCTTTAATCTCTTGGTATTCTATTTCATATTTGGGTTGTAAAGTGAGACTTTATTTTTATTTTATATTAAACTATTTCAGAATCACATAATTCGAATTTACATAAAAATAACCACAGTTGTGTATAATAATGTTGAAAAATACACATCAAACTAGTCATTGTGGAGAAACACCCAGAACTTGATTCATCTATCTTGCACTTGATTTATGGTTTAGCATAGTTTTACTTTTTAAGTTTTTAATTACATGGGTTGGAAGTAGGGGGAAGCACCACCACCTTTCTAAGGCCAAAACCTCAGCAGGTTTTCACCCTCCCCATGGAAATAGAGCTAATTTCAGAAGTAGTAGTGACAAGAAATAAGATAATACATGTTAAGCCCTGAATGCCTTTTATTGTTGTCACTGAGCTAACTTTCCTTTTCTTCGTTAACTTTTAAATACTGATCTGTTTTTAGGATTATAAATATCCAAGGGAAACAGAGACCATCTGGACTCATCCCTACATTGTGGAGGGGTACCCCAAGAACCTTTGGAGAGGCAAGGATGGCATTGCGGATCTGGGCACCACATTCTCTTATCCTCCAAACCACTTCCCATGGCACAACACCACAAGCCCACCCAAGCACACCATCCCCTATCCACATATGTGTGGCCTTGGGATAACTTTAGACTTGGAATAAAAAGTGGCACCACTGGGAAATGCAAATGGTGGCTTTCCTTCTTCCCTGGGCCGTTTCTCCCTTTGAGTCTGTTTAAGGACCTATTAGGCTGTGGCTTGGACAGACACTGAGATGAAGCCCTCAATTCCATGGATCAGGGTTTGTTTCTAGGTCCTTGTTCACTGTCCCTTCATTGATGTCATAGAGCCACCTCCATCTTGATGTTCACCATCAGGGTTTGGAGGAGTCTGGGGTTACACATTTCAAGATGGGGAGAAACCCTAAATCTTTCTGGCAACTCCAGCCATTTTCCACCCAACCTTCTTTTCCAGAATAAAATAGGGCCAGCATGGAGTCCACCCCATAGCAGGTGGTTCCAGGTCTCAGAACATGTAAGGATGACCACCAGAGTTCTGGCTTCAGTCTACAAAGCCTGGCCCCAGTCTCCAGCCTTCTGCCACTGACCCCCTTTCTCCATCTTCACTGGTCTTGTTCTGTTCCTGGAATTCATCATGCTCTGTGAGCCACAGGGCACTTGCACATGCTGTTTCCTCTGCCTGGAATGGTCTCATCTCTGCCCTATCTCAGGGACCTCTCACTCATTCCTCTGATCTTGTTCCTCAGGAAGTCTGTCCTAAGCCCCTACAAGTCTATGAAGAGTCCCTCAGCTTTCCCTCCTGAGCCCTCACTGTGTGTGTAGCTAGGCACTACACTGGGAGTTCCCTGAGGATGGGAGGTGTATTAATCCATTCTCACGCTGCTAGAACCCAGAACTACCTGGGACTCAGTAGTTTAAAAAGGAAAGAGGTTGAATTGACTCACAGTTCCGCAGGGCTAGCAAGCCCTCAGGAAACAAAACAATGGCAGAAGGGACAGCAAACATGTCTTTCTTCACATGGCAGCATGAAGGAGAAGAATGAGAGCCAAGTGAAGGGGGAAGCCCCTTATAAAACCATCAGATCTCACGAGAACTTACTCACTATCATGAAGATAGCATGGGGAACCCATTCCCATGATTCGGTTACCTCTCACAAGGTCCCTCCCACCACATGTGGGGATTATGGGAACTACAATTCAAGATGAGATTTGGGTGGGGACACAGCCAAACCATGTCAGGAGGTGTCCATTTTGCTCAGTCTTTCATCCCTTACTCTCAGCACAGGGCCAAGAAGGTACATTAGGTAGTAGTTGCTTGGTAATTACCACAGAATGAACGAATAAAGGAATGCTTATGGGCTCAAAACATCAATGTGTTTTCCCTTTTCCTCATGCAAAGAGCAGAATTCCACAAAAAGGGGATGGCCAAAGCAGGAGGTACTGTCCCTGGACTGCCTTCCCAACTCCAGACTTCTCAAGCTCCCCAAAGACCCTTCTGAATCCCACCCATAACTGCACTCTGGAGGCACCCCTATAAAGGTCTGATGTTTTTCTGTCATCTCAAGACTTCAGAGGAGACCCCACACCAGGCCCTGCCCACAGTAGGCTCCAGTCCTGCTTTGCAGGCCTCGGGGGCTCCAGTGAGAAACTTGCCCAGCTGAAAAGCTATGGAGTCCCTTTGCCTAAAAACTATGCTTAGTACCTGGGGACGGGATCAGTCATCCACAGCCTCAGCATCACGCAATATGCCCAGGTAACAAACCTGCACATCTGAATCTAAAATAAAAGTTGAATTTTTTTTTTCCAAAAAAGAAAAAACTTGCTTCAGCTTTGCTCCTTTCTTTATTGATGAGGAGAAAAAGAAAGCACGGGCTCTACTCCCTGCCAGCTGAGATCCCCACCAATACGAGCAGTTCTCCAGGAACAAGCATGAAATCCTGCAGAAAAACTCACCTTTGTCCCACTTCATCTCCTCAGGCTACAAAACAACAGCAAAGGCGCTTTGAGACAGGGCACTTTCTGATTAGTCCTTTAAGGGAAAACCTTTCCTCAGCAGGAAATGATGTTCCAGAGGCTGCTGGACAGAAACATAGAAACAACTATAATCCAACTGCCCCTGAGTAAGCCACGCAGTCCCTCAACACAGCATGTTCCTCAGTTTCTCATGCCCCCCCATCTCTGCGGCCACTCCAGGATACCCCACCAAGAGCCTGCGGGAACACCTCCCAGGGCCCCTTTCCAGCCCGTTCCAGATCTCATCCTGGGCTTTGGGAGCCTTCAGCTGTTTCCAAGAGTTAACTAAACATCAATTTAATTACACTGCTGGGCTGTATAAATATTATGCTCTACAAAATGGTACCAAGCAGATATTTTTAGGAGGTCACAGATGTTTCTTGTGATTAGCCTAGCTACAGGTCTGGAAGAATTTTTTTTTTTTTCCTTCAAAGAAAAATCAGTGAGGATTCTCAGCTGTCATTTGGGGATAGTTCCCGACATGGTTAAGCGCTGTGCTTGTTAACGGCACACCTGGGAGACTTCGTTTTTGTCTCCTGTGCCCTGTGGCTGTCAGCTTCCCTCTGAAACCCAGCAAGTGGGGCCCAAAGTCCAGGATCATGGAGCAGATGAACCAGTGACCCAGACGCCAAATCCCAGCAAGGGTTGTTTATCTACCTCTGGACTTGCCCTGTCTCTTGATTCAGCCACAAACATTTATAAAGCACCAGCTGTGTGCAAGACACCACACTGTAGCTGCCACTGCAAACTTGGATAAGACACTAACTAATATTAAGTGACAAAATGAGACTTCCGTTCCCACAGGTATACAAGAGGGCTCACAGCAACACTATTTAAAATCACCCTGAACTGGAAACAATCAAATACAATGGAACACTGCTCAGCAATAAAACAAATGAACAGTAACTGTGCACAACAGTGTGGATGAATCTCAGACACTGAATTCTGAGTGGAAGGCTCCAGACACAGCGGAGTGTGCACTGCACGGTCCCATTTATATAAAGCACAAAAGTAGGCAAAACTAAAGTCTATGGCGTTAGAGTCAAAATAGTGGTTATCCTGGAGGCAATAGTAACTAGAACGGCGTGTGAGTGAGGATTCCTGGGACGCCAGTCACACCCTATTTCAAGAACCAGATGTTGTGTTGGTTACACGGGTGTGTTCCATCTGGGAAAGTTTGTGAGCTGCACACTTAGAATGTGTAGACTTATTCCTATGTATGTTATTCTTCAATTTAAAAAATGCATTTAAAAGTAAGTAAATAGGCCAGGTGCGGTGTCTCACACCTGTAATCCCAGCACTTTGGGAGGCGAGGTGGGTGGCCCACCTGAGGTCAGGAGTTCGGGACCACCCTGGCCAACATGGCAAAACCCAGTGTCTACTAAAAATACAAAAATTAGCTGGGTGTGGTGGTGCACACCTGTAGTTCTTTAGAAGGCTGAGGCAAGAGAATCGCTTGAACCCGGGAGGTGGAGGTGGCAGTGAGTCAAGATCGTGCCACTGCATTCCAGCCTGGGTGACAGAACAAGACTCCATCTCAAAATAAAATGAAAATTAATAAAACAATAAAGTAAATAAAAGCAACTTGCCCAATGGGGCAAGATCCAGCCCCAAGCAGTCTACTTCCAGAGTTCGAGTTCTAACTGCCGTGTCCTGGTGCCCCTCCAAATGCAAGCGCTGCTGGAGATCGCCAGTACTCGGCACGTGCTCTGATCCTTCTCTGGACCTCATCAACAGAGTCTGCTGCACCTGACTTCCAACTGCTGGAGAGCTTTCTCTCAAATGCCCAGACCCCACTCTGCTTGCATGAGAGGCAGACCAAAGAAGCCAGGGAACCAAAAACCCCTGTCCCAGGAGCAGCCCTGTATTCGTGAGAGTTCTCTTAGAGGGACAAAACTATATATATTTTTAGGAGTTTACTAAGTATTAACTTACATGATTACAAGGTCCCACAAGCTGCAAAGCAAGGAGAGCCAGTCCGAGTCCCAAAACTGAAGAACTTGGAGTAAGATGTTTGAGGGCAGGAAGCATCCAACACGGGAGAAAGATGTAGGCTGGGAGGCTAGGCCCATCTTGCCTTTTCATGTTTTTCTGTCTCCTTTATATTTGCTGGAAGCTGATTAGATTTTGCTCACCAGATTAAGAGTGGATCTGCCTTCCCCAGCCCACTGACTCAAATGTTAATCTCTTTTAGCAACACCCTCACAGATACACCCAGGATTAATTTTTTTGTATATATACTTTAAGTTCTAGGGTGCATGTGCACAACGTGCAGGTTTGTTACATATGTATACATGTGCCATGTTGGTGTGCTGCACCCATTAACTTGTCATTTACATTAGGTATATCTCCTCATGCTATCCCTCCCCTCTCCCCCCACCCTACAACAGGCCCCGGTGTGTGATGTTCCCCTTCCTGTGTCCAAGTGTTCTCATTGTTCAGTTCCCACCTATGAGTGAGAACATTCGGTGTTTGGTTTTCTGTTCTTGCGATAGTTTGCTGAGAATGATGGTTTCCAGCTGCATCCATGTCCCTTCAAATGACATGAACTCATCCTTTTATATGGTTGCATAGTATTCCATGGTGTATATGTGCCACATTTTCTTAATCCATTCTGTCATTGATGGACATTTGGGTTGGTTCCAAGTCTTTGCTATTGTGAATAGTGTCACAATAAAAACACATGTGCATGTGTCTTTATAGCAGCATGATTTATAATCCTTTGGGTATATACCCAGTAATGGGATAGCTGGGTCAAGTGGTATTTCTAGTTCTAGGTCCTCAAGGAATTGCCACACTGTCTTCCATGATGGTTGAACTAGTTTACAGTCTCACCATCAGTGTAAAAGTGTTCCTATTTCCCCACATCCTCTCCAGCACCTGTTGTTTCCTGACTTTTTAATGATCGCCATTCTAACTGGTGTGAGATGGTATCTCATTGTGGTTTTGATTTGCATTACTCTGATGGCCAGTGATGCTGAGCATTTTTTCACGTGTCTGTTGGCTGCATAAATGTCTTCTTTTGAGAAGTGTCTGTTCATATCCTTCGACCACTTTTGGATGGGGTTGTTTTTTTCTTGTAAATTTGTTTGAGTTCTTTGTAGGTTCTGAATATTAGCCCTTTGTCAGATGAGTAGATTGCAAAAATTTTCTCCCATTCTGTAGGTTGCCTGTTCACTCTGATGGTAGTTTCTTTTGGTGTGCAGAAGCTCTTTAGTTTAATTAGATCCCATTTGTCAATTTTGGCTTTTGGTGCCATTGCTTTTGGTGTTTTAGACATGAAGTCCTTGCCCATGCCTATGTCCTGAGTGGTATTGCTTAGGTTTCCTTCTATGGTTTTTATGCTTTTAGATCTAACATTTGAGTCTCTAATCCATCTTGAATTAATTTTTGTATAAGGTATAAGGAAGGGATCCAGTTTCAGCTTTCTACTTGTGGCTAGCCAGTTTCCCCAGCACCATTTATTAAATAGGGAATCCTTTCCCCATTTCTTGTTTTTGTCAGGTTTGTCAAAGATCAGATGGTTGTAGATCTGTGATATTATTTCTGAGGGCTCTGTTCTGTTCCATTGGTCTATATCTCTGTTTTGGTACCAGTATCATGCTGTTTTGGCTACTGTAGCCTTGTAGTATAGTTTGAAGTCAGGTAGTGTGATGCCTCCAGCTTTGTTCTTTTTGCTTAGGATTGTCTTGGCAATGCGGGTTCTTTTTTGGTTCCATATGAACTTTAAAGTAGTTTTTTCCAGTTCTGTGAAGAAAGTCATTGGTAATTTAATGGGGATAGTGTTGAATCTATAAATTACCTTGGGCAGTATGGCCATTTTCATGTTATTGATTCTTCCTATCCATGAGCATGGAATGTTCTTCCATTTGTTTGTGTCCTCTTTTATTTCATTGAGTAGTGGTTTGTAGTTCTCACAAAGGTCCTTTGAAGAGGTCCTTCACATCCCTTGTAAATTGGATTCCTAGGTATTTTATTCTCTTTGAAGCAATTATGAATGGGAGTTCACTCATTGTTTGTCTCTCTGTCTGTTATTGGTGTATAAGAATGCTTGTGATTTTTGCACATTGATTTTATATCCTGAGACTTTGCTGAAGCTGCTTATCAGCTTCAGGAGATTTTGGGCTGAGATGATGGGGTTTTCTGAATATACAATCATGTCATCTGCAAACAGGGACAATTTGACTTCCTCTTTTCCTAACTGAATACCTTTTATTTCTTTCTTCTGCCTGATTGCCCTGGCCAGAACTTCCAACACTATGTTGAATAGGAGTGGTGAGAGAGGGCATCCCTGTCTTGTGCCTTTTCATGTGTCTGTTGGCTGCATAAGTTTTCAAAGGGAATGCTTCCAGTTTTTGCCCATTCAGTATGATATTGGCTGTGGGTTTGTCATAAATAGCTCTTATTATTTTGAGATATGTTCCATCAATACCAAATTTATTGAGAGTTTTTAGCATGAAGGGCTGTTGAATTTTGTCAAAGGCCTTTTCTGCATCTATTGAGATAATCATGTGCATTTTGTCTTTGGTTCTGTTTATATGCTGGATTATGTTTATTGATTTGTGTATGTTGAACCAGCCTTGCATCCCAGGGATGAAGCCCACTTTATCATGGTGGATAAGCTTTTTGATTTGCTGCTGGATTCAGTTTGCCAGTATTTTATTGAGGATTTTTGCATTGATGTTCATCAGGAATATTGATCTAAAATTCTCTTTTTTGTTGTTGTGTCTCTGCCAGGTTTTGGTATCAGGATGATGTTGGCCTCATAAAATGAGTTAGGGAGGATTCCCTCTTTTTCTATTGATTGGAATAGTTTCAGAAGGAATGGTACCAGCTCCTCCTTGTACCTCTGGTAGAATTCAGCTGTGAATCCGTCTGGTCCTGGACTTTTTTTGTGGCAGGCTATTAATGATTGCCTCAATTTCAGAGCCTATTATTAGTCTATTCAGGGATTCAACTTCTTCCTGGTTTAGTCTTGGGAGAGTGTATGTGTCCAGGAATTTACAGGATTAATACTTTGTATCCCTCAATCCAATCAAGTTGACACTCAGTATTTACCATCACAAGCACTCAACCAAACACTGATGGGATTTAGTTTTAAAATTCTGCAACTCCCTCTTTCCTTGGGCTGGATAACACTGAGTGGTGTTCTGCCCTGTCTCCCTGAACTGCTCTGTGGGGTTGAGCCCCTCAAAAATGACGTGCTCAATAATATGCCCTGTATCACCTTCCTTTCCCTCCCTGTCCCACTGCCCCACTCTCCAAGGGGTATTTCCTGGAATCACCTCACAAATCCACAGCTGGCAGTTGCATATTTGCCCCAGGGCCTGCCACTGGAGCGTGAGGTTCAGGAAGCCCCTTCTCAGAGAGGCCTTCCCTGGCCACCCAGGTCCCTTTAGCCACATTCTTTTCCTTTCTCAAGTGTCTTCTCTGGTTATTTGTTTGCTGTCTATGGCTTGTTTCCCCACAACCCACCCACAACCCTCATCTGGAAAGACAAGCTGCAGGAGAAGAGAAACCTCAGCTTGCTTGCCACCAGCTCCTCAAACCAGGAGTGATTTCCAAAATGTTTCATAACCATATGGCAAAGGAAAAAAATCCATCAGAATGGGTCACTGAAAAACCAGAATGGTGTTTGACCAATCAGAACCAATCCTGGCTTCATATATCCCAGCTTACTATCAGCCCTGCCAAAAGTAATTCACTCCTAAAACATCATCAGTGCTCAAAAAATATTTTTTAGACAAATAGATTAATTGCTCAGTCAGTCAGTGAACAGATGAAACTAGCAATTCATGACTAAAAATCCAAGATCTTCCCTAACTTAAAACCTGAATAAAAACCTTGCCATCTTTGGTGGTGCTGTCCTGGTTCTTGTGCCAAAACACACGTGAACAGATCCACCCATGGGAGCTGAGACAGTCCTACTTCCCTGTTTCTTGTTTGGAGAATGGAAAAAATCACCTGCAAAATCGTGAGGTCCCTAAGAGTTGCCCTAGGATCCAGAATCTCAGTCTGGTCTCCATGCAGCCAGGCTCACCTCACTGAGACTCCCACAGGGGCCGTGAGCCATTTGCTCCATCCTTCCTAGGGCACAGTGTGCATCAAACCCTGTTCAGAGACAAAAGAGGTGGGATCTCTGGGAGAGCTCTTTTAGCCCAACCTCTGCCAGTAACCCCTTCTAGTAGCCTTGCCTAGACGTGCCTTTAATCTCTGAACCTCAGATTCCTGCTGTCAGGATTATCTTCCAGTGGTCATCTTCTTGGGTGGAGGGAAAGGGCTCCATTCACCATTGCATCCCAATGCTTAGCACAGAGCCTGGCACATAGAAGATGCACAATCAACAGCTAAATGAATGAACTGTTCAACCAATGAAATGATAACATTTCAATTCTAGATGGCATTAGGTTCTTACAGTGCCCAGGTCTTGTGCTCAGTGAGAGCTTCCCATGTACCACCCACTGACTGAGCGATGCAGGTCCCTTGGAAGGTGTGAAGCAGGTTGCAAACAGAGAATGAAGGGCTACTTTCCAGGGATGTCCAGCATATAAGCTGACACACTCTCACCTCCGAGCTGTCCCTGGAAGGAGCCCTTCACTTCAGCACCAGGTGTCCATGGTCATCACCTGGGCCTGATTTCCCTCCTCCCACCCTTTGGCAGAGAAACAGAAAGACAGGTAAGTGTCGGTTTTATGGGTTTTATTAACACCTACATAAAACCGGCGGGGGGTCGGGGGGTGACAGTTTCCCAGAAAAGAGTTTCCTTAACCTCTAACAGAAAAGTGATACAAATCCTTCATCAGAGTAGGTTTTCTGTCTCCTTCAAGCAATGAATGGAATATTCCTGGTTGTAGATAAACTCAAGATTCTTGTTAGGAGACCTAGGACCCCACTGTGAGCCTTCCACTCTCCTATCCCAATTTCTGATGGTGGCAGAAAGAACTAATTTTGTAGTTCTCTCTGTTGAGTCCCAATTTAGAGCTAGGACTCTGTCCCAGATCAGGCAACTCTTAGTGTCCCAGAGGGAAAGAACCTCATGCCTGTCACGGTCTGGGGCCCCTCACATTATAGCACTCTCTGCCGGGCCATGGGCAGATAGAAGCCTGCAAGGACAGGAGAGTCAGAAGAAGTGATGGGCTCAGGCACTCCAACCCGCACCTTCTCCTGTCCCGTCAGTATCCCAGCTTAGCTCCTGGCTCCTGGAATACTGAAGACTGGCAGGACTGCTTGCTCACACAATGAGGAAGAATAAATCCTGCCTCCAAGGAAGAGGGGTTCATGTTGCATCCTTCAATTGTAAAGTTGCCCCTTGTGAGATTTTTCCTACAGAGCATGGCCAAATGTGAGAAAAGTTTCAGTTGGGCAAGTCAAGTCAACCTCTTACTCTTCAGGAGGGCATTACTTGAAGGAGAGATCTATGTTCAAATCACAAGGTGGAGAATCACATCTGGGGTTGGCTTCCATCCCTGTGAAAAGATAAAAAACCACAAAGGGAGGTAGGGCATGTACAACATGTACAGTGATGCTTGTGTGCACATATCTGCAAGAAAACACAAGAAGCTGGTAGCTGTATGTGTCTTTGGGGAAGAAAATTGGGGAAAGCAGTCAGGAGAAGTATAAAGAACTGATTTTTCTCTGTATACCCTTTTCTATTATTATGATTTTTTTTTCCACGTGCATTTTTTCTAATTTCAGGCTTTTGTCTATTCATTCAACAAATATTTTGAGAATCTAGTGTAGGTGCCAGGGATTGAGAGAACGAAGCAAAGTGAAAGCAGGCAACAGGCAAGGGTCCTGACTGATCTCTGCCCTCAAGACTCACAGGTCTTGAGAGGTCAGAGGGAGCCATGTCACTTGTCATCCAAACTGCGCCTCTTCTGAAGAAGGAGATTCCACTAATTGAGCATCAAGACTGCAGGGCAAACTGGGAATGTCTTAGACAAGCCAGGGCATTTGTGTGGCCCAAATAGAACCACACCCATACAAAGGCAGAACACAGAGCTGGGAAAAAACCACACCCATACAAAGGCAGAACACAAATTGTGGGAGAGAAAGACAACAGCTCAATCAAGGCAGTTTCCTGGAGGACGACCTTGAGGACACGCATGGAATGTAGATGGTGGAGGCGGGGGAGTTGGTAGGATTGTGGCCTCCAAGAAAATCCTACACCTCAGTCTTCAGGACTGTGGCTAGGATGAGATGTCACACCCATGAATACATTATTTGTCTTAGTGTGGGCTCTATCACAAAGTATCATAGACAGGCGGCTTAAACAACAGACTTATTTCTCATCATAGGAAGCTGGCAAGTCCAAGATCAGGGTGCCAGTCTGGTGAAGGCCCTCTTCCTGGCGTACAGATGGCCACCTACTTGCTACATCCTCATATGGCAGAGAGAGTAAGAAAGCGGACAGGGGATGGAGAGAGAGAGGAGAGAGAGAGAACGAGCGCTCTGGTCTCTTCCTCTTATAAAAACACTGATATGGTTTGGTTCTGTGTCCTCACCAAATCTCATGTCAAACTGGAATCCCCAGTGTTGGAGGTGGGGACAGGTGGGAGGTGATTGGGTCATGGGAGTGGCTCCTTCATGAATGGCTTAGCGCCATCCCCTTGGTGCTGTTCTTTTGATGGGGATCTCACAAGATCTGGTTGTTTTAAGTGTGTAAAACCTCCCCTGCCCAAGTCTTGCTCCTTCTTTGGCCATGTGAAGTGCTACTCCCCCTTTACCTTCTGCCATGATTGTAAGTTTCCTGAGACCTCCTCAGAAGCGGAGCAGATGCCAGCATCATGCTTCCTAGACAGCCTGCAGAACCATGAGCCAATTAAACCTCTTTCTTTATAAATTACCCAGTCTCAGGTGTTTCATATAGCAATGTGACAACAGACTAATACAGACGCTAATCTTGTCATGGGGGAATCACTTTTGTGACTTCATC